TGAACTCATGCAGGTTGATTCGTTGAATGGAGAACAATTCATGTTGTGTATATTGCCACGTTACAAGCATGTTTGGTGTTATGAAGTCATTTATGTAAACAGAAAACCATTAATATTCCCAAATAATTAACATTTCCTTGCTTATTTTGTTGCAATTTAGTTAACTGCCAGGTTAGTTTAAATAACATCAAAAGTCAATGTTATCCATTGTTTTTTGTCCTTCTGTTCCATTCTGTGGTTTAGGATATATGATTCTGAATCCAAATTTCACTCCCTAAAACTGGCCACGTATCACTTGCTAATGGGCTTTGCGAACCCAGCCATGAAATAGGACATGAAGAGAATAGCTCAATAGGCCTTAGAGAGTGTATTATGTTGTAGTTAACAGGGGACAGGTTGAAATTATATCCTATAGCTTGAATTTTAACAACCCAATAAATTTGCAGCTAAGCACTAACTTGGGCTACAGTATCTACTCACCAGCTGCTGAACAATGTCAGTGAAGTGTTTGTTTGTTCTCACTGTGCCCCCAGCTCCGTACATAAGGGCAGACATTTTCCATATATAAATGAAGAAAAGGAGGAAATACATTTTACAGTGCAAATCTGAAACCTATTTCTCTGCATTTGTGTTTCCAGAGAAACCCTCATCCGTTCAGATTATGGACAAGGCTGAAGTACTTCAGAGGGACAAAACAACAACGGTAAGATTCACTGCAGCCTTTACATTGTAGTGTTCTGTACAGTCGACTGAAGCACACACGTGTGTAATGAAAAGATTAATGTCCTGTAATTCTATGTGCTTAAAGGGAATGTTTATCCAGTCAAGGAACTGAGAGATTTCTGTTGTAGTGGAATATTGCTCCACATGTCACATGAAAGCCAGCTGAGAGTGTTGCATGAGTTAGCTCTATGGTCCAGGGCTGCAGGGGCACACAGGAAACTCACATGTTTTATAGTTTACAAAGTTCAAGCAGCCCAAGGCAAAAGGACATCAAGTGAAAAAAATAAATGATGATTGAAGATTTTACACTTTTGAAAGTGCAGATCGTATTTATGTTACATGCATGGTCATCAAGGGTGCCTGGTTATGATTTATACTGGGGTAGCAATTGTCAAAGGGAGTCCTCCCCCATTAAAATATTTCTTGCAATCTCTACACCACCTAAACGGCACTGGTCTAGATTAGGTAGATTGAGGCTTTGGAAGCCAATATGTAACTGAGTAGATCAGCAAATGTAATGATTAAGTCTGTTTTATTGCTGACATCATATTAATGCCAATATTATGCTGTGCAATACGGTAGCAGGTTGCTGGCTGCTAAGCCATTGTTTTTATAAATACAATTGTCGAAATAACATATCACAAAATGATTTAGATACTTAAACCTGGTTAAACAATGCTGCTACTCTGAATACTCACAAGGTGTCTGCAAAGTCTAACAACTACAACAATGTATAAACAGTTTGGATGGATGAAATGCTAGTGGTGCTATGGCTGCTGGGGTTGTAATGTTAAAAACAGTAATGAGTAATCTTAATTTCAAAAGCAGATCAGTTTTAATGCACAGCCAGAGGTTGACTTTTTCACCTCAAGTGGGTTTCTTTAGTGGAGGACCAGACCT